CTTGCCTTTCATGTATGGATACCTTATTTGCAAATATTGCAGAAAATATCCATATCAAATTTAATGAAATGCTTCCACTACTAGAAATACAAGAGTTAACTTACTAACAAATAACTCATAAAAAATAGTTTGAGAAGTATTCTGGACTTAAAACCTTCACTGGCTTAAGTATGGACTCCTGTCCTCCCATTCAGCACATTCAAATTACACACAAAACAGCTGCTGCAAAAAAGCTGCAGTGAGGGTGATTAATGCAGGCTCTGACAATCACCAGGTATCTGCATGTCTGTTTTATGTCTGTATTTCTCTACTCAGCAATACACAAGCTACTAATTAGTGAAAATTGGGTACCTTCAGTACTAAGAATTTGCAGGTTGGGTATTGTGCATCAAAGCCACGAAAGCTCAGAGCACACACACAGAAAGAATTACAAGGTAGTAAAATATCTGAAACTTTGAGAAAGGTGCAGAAGGAACCTAAACGCTACATACGTACAGACAACACACACTAATAAATGAAACTTACTTGAATATAGCCAATCTCTTCATCTGTCATAAGTTTCCTTCTGTATTTCTGAGGTAAGGTTCTTACTAACTCGTAAGTGTCTGGTGTACCTTGTACTCTACTAACAGACGGCGGCGCTCTGCCTCCTAGAGACTCCTGTGCTTTTGAAGCATGAACAGATGGCACACTTGCTGGTGAGGATTCCTGTACTGAAACCCAAATTGCAAAACCATTTACAGAAATGTAACAACACTGTAAAATTAATTAATGGGCAGCAAATAAAAATTACCAGTTATTAACAGTTACCTTCTTTGTAACAAATACTTAAAAGATTTAGACATTCTACTTCTCACAGCATGTTTTTATTTTTGTTATATGTATCAAGAGCATAGTGAAAAAATTCTGACAGTAGGAGAAAGCATATTCAAGTGGCAGAAATACTGACTCAGGAATAGAAGATAAATCAGCATATATCCTAACAGGCTTCTTCACTGGGAAGCTGTACTTATCAAAAAAACAGAGTGTGTGGAGGCAGCTAGGTAGAAAGATAACCAAGATAAATAACTAAGATCCAGTGAGATTATGCTTTTTGTTTACTGTGATTGTAAAGTCAGACGACTGAAATAAAGGTAGAGAGTTGTGAGCTTTATCTTTCTGTAAAAAAGAGATGAAGCTCACAACCACAACATACCACAACATGCAATGCAGTGTTGTACCCTTTTCTAACATAAAAAATGACATCCTATCAGATTTTGTTAATGATGTGTAGAATGACCACGAAATACCAGATTATCAACCATCAGTGTTAATGAATGCAGAGACCAAGGAGTACATAAAGCACAGCACAGGTGAGGGCTAGGAGCTAGGCTTCGGGAATTCACATTAAAGAAGTTGTCTTGATTTTGAAGATAGGAGAAGAGATGATAAAAGGGCAGCACTGTTCAAGTCAGCACCAGAAACCTTAGGTCTGTCCCACCATGGTTGACTGTAATGCAGAAATACGCAATTACCCCACCTCGCAGGATGGAGTCTCACAGCAGTATGCTTACTTCATAAACACTCAGAGGTGTATATGTAAGGTTAAAACACCTGATAAAGTAGAAAGCTTCCATGGGGAACCTCTCAGTACTCCTCAAAAATGAGCCAGACAAATGCAACATCTAAACAACTGGGAAGGTGGGCCTATATAACTATATGCAGCATCAAGACTAGGTGAGTCAGAGAATGCAAGGAGTTAAAATACCATAGTGCTGCCTGCCTCAATCCCTCCTGTCTCTAACAAGGCCAGTGAGGACACGAGAGGAGACAGTTTTAGCCATAGTGGGCTTGAGTCAATGGCAGGACTGGGGCATCAAACACCTGTGGCTATGTGATTGAACCACTACTGGTTTAAAATAAAGATAAAAAAAAGTCACCCCTGAGAGGCATATTCAGAAGTTCTCTGTCAGAGGACTGTATCTGAAAATCCCAAGTTGATCAGGTGGTTGAGGAACAATGGAAGGTCCCAAAAAGCACGGCGGATGAAAGCCCATCAGAAGGAGCACACTTTGAACAAGGGCAAAGTATTTTTGTTTCAAGAAATAGCACACCTTATGTAAGAAAAAACCCAAGAAACAGTTTCTCCAAAATTGTTCCACACAAAACAAAAATGTCTAGAGATTTGCCAAGGATTTTCCACTATTGTATGTTTCAGTCTGAAGTGCAGTTGGAGTACATGCATTAGCCAATTAAAAACATCAGAGGACAAGTCTCAGCAGTACCAGACTGTTGCTTTAGCTCAAACACAGTCACTACTACATCTTCCTGTTCTCTGTTTGAGGTCATCATGTTGCAGGAGTAATACAGTAACAATTCTGTTGGCCTTTCAAGCACCCAGGCCCTAAATGTTCAAGCTCTACCTGCAAAGCTCTGTTTGGCTATGTAGAAGGAACAGCCTGGTACACTGAAATGCAGTTATTGCTACAGCATTCAAGCAAAATGAGGTAGACTGCAATTTACCAGTGAGATGACAGAACGTGGTTAAGGTACAAAAGTCTAACATACTTAAAAGATATAGCCCCAAAAATCTTCTGATGCAGACATAAACAGGAGGTAAGCAGCACGTTTTCAAGCCTCTTGAGACAGCAGTTCATTGGCATGAGAGGTGCTGTATTTGGCTGAACTGTGCACAACATACAGAATTCTGACAAAGCTATTGCAGAAAACAGTTCCTGGAGGGTTTTGATGTGCACTGTAGATATTTTGGAATGTTAATGGATAAGCTAAGTCACAAATGCGATAATGCTGTGGCAAGTATTGTGGTGTGGTACCATTTATACAGAAGTGAGAGGTTCTGTATAAAAGAGGCTCCTTCAGATGCCTCCTACTTTAGTTTCAAATGCTTTGCTGACTGAAAAGGAGTATTAAACCAAATTATCGCTCATGTAACTTTGATGTTTAAATATAACAGTATTTGGAATCCTGTAAATATCAACATAGATGGAGGCATAAAAAATAATGTCAAAGATTGCAATTATTTTTTTTAATTAGTAGCACAAGGAAATACTTTTTAAAATATATGGCTATAATCATGGTTTTAAATACTGGAGACAGCACACACCCTGACTAGAAAAGATGAGGAAAATGCAACATAATTTCTGCAAATACAAACTGACTTGGGCATAATCATTTCAGGCAAATATTAGTATCTGGAAAAATGGGATTCTTCCTGAATCTGCCTTGACCAAGAAATAAAGTCATGCATGTATTATGTGTATTCCCACATATAGTCTGAAGAGTCAAAGAGCTACCTTCAACTAAAACAACCACTTTTCAGAAACTGCTTCAAATCAGTTGACTTGCATTGCTGAAACAGAAAAATTGTGTGCCAATTCTTAAATAAAACAGTTAATGCAAAAAAAATAAATGTGGTGCAGATTGGACCTGCAGTTGATATACTTACTTTTAGGTCTGGGACCACTCAATCTGTCAGGGAACTTAATTAACGGAGTATGTGGCTTTACTACCTGGAACAAGGCAAGGTATGGGAGAAACAGCGAGAGTAAAATATATTTCTAGAACACATTACCTCCACAAAAGTAAAATGGAACATACAATGTATTAAACAACCACTTCTATCCTGCTGCATTCTGCACCACCATTGATACACTTGCTACCTATTTAAATTCCGTATTTACTCCAGGAGAAGTGTCAATTTTAAAGGTACTCCTCCGCCCTAATATCCAGAGCAGGAACAAGCATTCTCTTCCTTTTCTCACTGCAGTCTGTATGTGTGTGCGCAAGAACTGCTACCGTGGACACACAAATTAGAACTTTTAACACATGGACTTACTAGCTGTGCTCTGCCCGTATGTTTGTTCAGCTGGCTGGACAAAACTGACTACCTCCATTAAAACCAAACCTATAAATGATAAAGCTTGTAGCCGAAGCCACACTGCTTATTCTTAAAACATGTCTTCTCAAGAACACTCCACGTCTCACCTTCACCTTGAAGAACGATGGCTTAGAAAGGCGCTGCCGGCTAGCCCCCTCCCCTCCCCTCCCGCACACCGCACCAGATGGTGCCGGCTGCTCCACAGCAGCCTTCGGAAACACAACCCAGCACCAACAACTAGCGGGCCCTGCCGCGCGTCTCTTCCCCCGCGCCAAGGGCACCAGCCTCCCTGAGACTCCTCAGGCGCCGGCCGCCGCAGGCCTCGGGGCAACACACGAAACGAGGCCCACCTCAGAGCGGAGACGGGCTTCCGGCCCCAACCACCCCTTCCGCGGCCCCCGTTAGCGAGCGCGGCTACCTGAACTACCCTGGCTGCGGCCGCCATCTTACTGCCCATGACGACCCCTCGCCACGGCGCCCCGCCGCCGGCTCCTGAGAAGCAGCGCCGGGCCCCGCCCACAGCGCAGGCCTGTGGCGAGGTACCCAGCAAAACCCACCGCACAGCATTGACGAAAACAGCGTGTTGTCTATTGGGTGAGAACACGTCCCGCCCATCCCCCGAAAACTTAAAAATCACTTGCAAAGTTAAAAGCGACAGTCTTTTTTAACATTACGTGCTATGATGTGCTCAGTTTCTCAAGCATAAAACAAAGATGTGGGTTATTCAGTGAAAAAGTCAATTTAAAGTAGCGCTTAAGACAAAGTCATCCCTTTGCCTAGCATTCACATATTTTGCTATGTGGGATGGCAGGCACGGATTGCATCCAGTGCTGGACAACTGGGCTGTAACTAAGCAGCACATAGCACAGGCACAACCGATTACTACGAGCAGAAAACGTTCATTGTAAAATTGAGCATACATAAAAATTTAAACACTTCATTAATGCTTTAATAATACAAAAAAAAGAAAATAAACCCCAAAGATCTTCCAGTTTGGACTCCACACAGGGCTTGGGTTAAGATGAATTTTACATAAAACCTTGAAATGTATCAATTCTTCTTTTTAACTTGGGAGAGTATAGCTGTAAGTGGTCTTTTCAGATAGTTTCATCAGCCATGGCTCCTGTTCAAACATTTACTGTATACCAGGAACTAAATTTCACTTCAAAGAATTGTGTGACTACATTCTCAGTCTCTTCAGTGAACAGACACCCCCAGAAAGGTCAAATTATGTTTTCATAATGTGTATTAATTTATTAAATTCAGGAGAGTGAGTACGTACACTATATGAAAAAAATTAAAGACCACCTCTCCCAACTCAGACTTTTTTTTCAAGCTGTAGAACAAGTTCCTTTAAAGATGGATCTTCTGCCCAGTTAACTCTGCTTCCAAGTATGATGCACTGTAAGAAAGGAAGTTTGGTTAAAAAAAAAAAAAACAAACAAAAATCATGAAAAAATATTATTCCCACTAAATTCTCTCAAAATCTGTCCGGTTTTCAATTTTTAATTTGGAAGCGCTTTAAATTCACAGCAGTATTTGAAGTAGGTGGGATGGGACAAAGAAGAAAAGTAATTTAGATCCTGTTGCCAATGCATAGGTAAAAAAATAAGTGGTGCTTTGAACTCCCCAGAGGTGCTTGCACACTATCCCTATTTTTAACATAGGAATTTAGAGAATTTGTTTTTTAACACATAAAGTTTGCCTCAAACTTAAGATACCACAGTTGACATTCTCACCCTGCCATTCTGGACTGAAAAAGGGAATTATTAAAGTTAACCAATAAAAGATTTGCTCTACTTACGGCTCGGAAGATCTCAGGAATACAAAACCAGGAGATCTAATCTAAACCCCACTAAAATGTTTAATTTCTTGTTCTCAATATGAGATCTAACCTTGTTATCAATGCAAGCTAGTAGTAGATGCCATGCAACACAAAACCATGCAACTCGCTTTTCTGTCTTTGAAATTCTTCTGATCATCCAAATTCACAGTGTGATTATATCCTGTCTTTACCTGAAGCCCCCCACTCTGTCCTCTCCCTTCCCCATTTTTTTTAAATAAACTTTGTACATGCTGAACTGGGATTTCATAGCCTGTTTGCAGATAAAACTCAAGAGCAGTTACAATTTACTGTGTAAATTAAGTGTGCCTTCCATCTTTGTACCTAGGTCACTAATCCATGTGGCTAGGCAAAGGAAGCCAGGACAAATCACACAGTGAGAGGCACAGTTCCTGGCTGCAGCACAGCGTATGTGACCTTTACTGAAGTGCCCCTCTAAGCACAGGATGCTCCAGAGGCACCTTCACCCTATACCAAACCATGAGCTTTTCTTCCTTGCTAGCGTCTTCACACTCCAGATGACCTGCCAGCCAGCTACATAGATTCAGGCTAGTCTGCAGCATCTGATACCAAATGGGTAACCAAAAGACACCACAGAAAGTTACTGGAGATGGGCCATGGGTGCAGGCCAAGGCTTTCACAAGGCTGTAGTCGGCAACACAGAGAAAGCACAGCTGGTCAGAAGGGCAGAGTGCAGAGCAGCAGCCTGGCTCAGTGGCATCATGGGATTAAGACCTACTTATTTTTCCTAATCATGAGATAGGGGAACTGATTTGGGGGGGTGTAGGGGTGACTTTTGACTTTCAGTATAAGGAAATACAGCCACTACTTTAACAGACATTCTTTGAGAAAATGCATTGTTTTTATACCTTTAAGGGAATAAAAAGAGTAAGACAGATTGATAGACTGTCTTGAAATTCCATAAATAACTATTAAAAAAAAAACTCTGACAATTTCATGCTTGCAACCTTTAAAGCAATAAAGATTTATTCAGTTTTCCTTTCATATAGCTGTTTTTCCATTACTATTGTTAAAGTCATTAGAAAACAGAACGTTGCCCAAAGTAACGTTTACTGGACACTATATTATTGCTATTATTGCAAAACTGTACTCTGGCTTTTAAAAGCTGAAACACCTTACCTGCAATACATTTTGAATTACTGAAGTAATCTTTCTCTCTTTCTGGTAGGCAATACGCATCTTCTCCAGCATTTTCACATCCTCAATTGTTTGTTTCTCTTTTAGTTTGTTCATCATGTCATGGATTTCCGTTAGTTTCTGTCTTCCGGCTTTTTTTAGTACTTTTTCCATTATGAGGAAAATTAAGTGTTAAAGAGCAGTAAGATGATCAGCAGAACTAAAGATCTGCTTTTTATCTCACAAAACATCTAAGGCACTCCCACTGCAATACCCTTAACCTCACACTCCATCCCTTCCCACAGTATATATCAAGATATTCCTTTCACTCAAGAGGCAGTATGTCCTGTGGGTACCTGGTATCAAAGCACATTCATTGTTTCCCTGGCTGCTAGCAAAACAGAAAGTACTTTGTACACTGTCTCTTATTTTCATCAGACACAGACTGTAATTCGAGTATCTGTTCTACATCTCACCTACAGTTGTCACAATTTTCATTGTCAGATGTTTAAGATCTTTCCCCCTTTTTCAGACTTGACTGAAAACAAATTCTAAAGTTGTACAAGAGGTATGTGTACCACATCAGTGAACATTACCAGTGTTCTATAGGAAGCCAGGCTAAAAAACAGGCTGAATAAAGCTATTTAGAGGCAGTTCTTACATTGGAAGAATGCTGACACAGCATTCCTCCCCTTATTTCTGAAGATATTAGGGGCGTTCACTTTTTCGAAAAAGATAGATACTTCCTTGCATTAATTTCATTACTGTCAACATACACACCACTTTGTATGCATGAAACACAGTGACTGTTAAAATGGTTGGCAAACCTGGTCATGTGACAGTAGGTTCACTCAAGAAAATAGATTCCGAAGGCTGACCGCATCTAAATTTGACTCACTCTAACAAGCCTACTGAATACCAACATACATACAAAGATTCTTTGCAAGTAAAACCCATCCCCTATTCTGCAAACATTTCATAAAGGTGCAATCTGCCAAAAAAAGGTACTTTAGATATTGATTTAAATTACTAGATGATGTGTAATTTCCCGGGGAGCTTACACTAGTAATAAAACACCACCACATTCTTTGAGAATCTTTTTGTGTCTCCCATTCTAATGGTCAGTCTCATGCTCAAGTAGACAACACAGCAGCTCATTTTTGCAGTACTTCCTGCTCTTTTCAGAAGTTTTATAACTGTGTTGAGCATCTGGTAGTTACTTCAGATGTAAATTAATACTGCTACAAGAACCTTAAAACATGAAGTGTACATTCAAACAAAGTCAGTATAGCTAACATGCTTACAAAGTCTTTCCTTTTGAATGTCAGCCACTTTCTGTTCCTTTTCACGTGCTTGCTGGAAAAAAGGAAAAAAAAAACATTTCTTAGACTCCTGGCTCCAAAGTATTTTGAAAAATGCTAACTCCAATCACAAAAGCAGTTAAGGGCAGCTCTAGAAACAGACTTTCTTACATACTCACTTTAAGTAATAAATTCAGTGATTTTAACACCAGTAGGCACTGCACCTTTTGGGCCACACATTTAGCTTCAAAGGACTTGTAAAATCTAAATACTTTCAAATTGCGTTTGTGCCTATCATGTTGACCTGAACAACTGCAATAGAAGCTATGACTGCCACTTACCTGCTGACATGCAGCTATTTCCTGGCTGAGGCTTACTATGTCTTGCAAAGTTTCCAGCATCAGTCTAAGGAAGGAACACAGTTGCATACATTAAGGAAGAGTATTAATGAGTCAACAGCATAAATGTTTTAATCAAGGTTATTTGGATTAAACAAAAAAAATCCCTAATCCCCTCCCCCCCCCCCCCCACCAAACCTAAGTATTGTTGTAGGAGCCAAACAGCCTCCTTAATTTCCCTCAGTTTCTCAGTTTCAGTTAAGTCTGTCTAACATTTCAAATCACAAAGCTTGAAAGGCATCACAGAAGCCTAACCACTTGAGAATGGCTAATTGAAGCTCTTGAATTCTGGCATGGGGCAGGGACATCATGATGATGCAATGTTTTCAGCTGCATTTCTGACAGAAGTTAAATTTCTTATATTACGCTTCAGATGTGTTCACCTGTTCATATTGGGCAGGAAATTAAAAGCTGATTCTAAACATGTTCAAAACTTTCTGTCCTTTTTCAAGGACATTCAATTCTACACAACAAATTAATGAAATAATGAAGGCAGGAAAGCAGCGCCAAGGCCCTGTTACAAGCCTGTAATATGTGCTCAGCTATTATAAATGTAGATAACTCATGTATTAAAGGCAAAAAAATTCTTCACTACAAACAGTTCTCACTAGTAAATAAAAAATTATGATCTCTGTAATCAAAGATTGGTTAGTTCAGATGTAAATCCACCCTGGGTGTAAGAGTTCTGATCATGCAGATTCCAGCCAGAAGGTGGACAGTATATCATTCAGTCAGAACTAGAAGAAAGAAGCTTGCTTTTTAAAAAAGGTACAATGCAGTAATGCAGAAATGTATCAGAGAAAACTCTGTAAAGACCATTCCTTTCCAGCCATCTTTTTGCCAAGAACACCTTACTGTGAGTCATTATCATTTTGCTTCATTTTGTCTCTCAGGGCAGCCATAACCTGCATCCTGCATAGCATGGAGAAAAAAATAAAACTGATGAGAACTTACATGAAACTGGGAGAAACAGACTGAGACAAGTAACAGAAAATACATTTCCTAGGTTCCATTTATAGCTACTTTAATATTAGAATTATACATATAAAATTCTCAGTACCTTTTAAATATCATGCTTCTTAAATAAAGGGGCTTAATCCTCGGGACAAAAAAGGTGCATCTATGATTACTGGTGAGTGGCAACTCCCTTCTCTCTTGCAAACACACTAAGAAACCATTAATCCCACAATCTGCAGAAGGTAAACTGGGTAAAGGTGGGAATTCAAATGAACAGCCATGCAACACAGGAGATACGTAATATTTATCCTATCAACTACCTTTTCATAAGCATTTGTAAAATGCAGCCAAGAAATACGTTTACCGATTCATACAGTCAGACTTCCACAGTTTTGCAGAAACCTCTGAGTTTACATATTTCAACTTGATTCCTCCTTCCTCCCCTTTCCCCCCAGTATCACCAATTGTATTCCTACTGGTTCAGTGTTATTAAAAGTCACTCATGTTTGTACCACACCCTGTATCACTTTGAAATCCTGTTTTAATCAGAATTATGTATACATGTATGTGTGTATGCACAAACAGAAAACCTCCAAATAAACAGGAAGAAAATTCTACCTTTGCAAGGCTAACGTCTTGCTCCAGAAAGAGGCTTTTTCATTCTCAATGGCTTTTTTATAATCTTCTATGACACTGAAGGAAAAAAAAACCAAAACTAAACACACACACACAAAACCACACAACACCCCCCTCCTCAAGAAAACAGAATCCTAAACACTATGAAGATATCAAAAAAATCTAAAAGCAGTGTCACAACTTTAACTTGCTCTCTAAGTATCTAAAGATTTTTTCCTGTAAACCACAAACTATTAAGGCTACGAGTATTTTAGCATGCTCAACTTATATTAGTGAACTCTAGCCATCTGTAAAGAGCACTGCAAATTTAGAAGCCACATCAGATACAAAACTACATCATCAGACTGAGCAAAATATTTCTTCCCCCATAATTTCCTTTATTTTCACCAGACTTCTGCAAAGTAATGATGGTTAATCCAGACATTTACTATACAGCAGTAGCTAGAGAGGACCTCCAAACTCAGTTCTTAGCCCTTCTCTTCATTTAAAATACATCAAAAGTTTTAAGTTATCCAATGACGTACATCTGCACAGGCTTTTGCTTGCCAGCATAAGAGTCAGCTGCTTTACCTGCAAAGACAGAATGTCATTAACAAAAAAGGCACAACAGAGATTTTTAAATACAATCTACAGAGCATAAAACAGCCTGACAACTGTACTAACAAAGTATTTCTTAATTCTCCCTCCACACCTTATAATCTCTTCCACTATTAGTGAGCTATATGTAAGAAATTACTAGGCTTTACTGTATTTCCATTTAGCGCTTTTGAGACATGTCAAAGCTAGTTGGCAGCACTGCTCTATCTATGCAGCCTGGCTGGTTCAGTGGAAGATACAGGCAACGGAAACACGATAGGAACAAGAAAAAAAGCCTTAAGTCAGTATTGCTGCCAAGCACTTAAGCACACTTAAATAATCATCGCTTGTCTGAGTGTCAGAGAAGCCGCAAGTAGAAACCGAAGGGGAGAAAGAGCAGTGGGCAATAACCAGACGGCAGCTTTATAAGCATTTAAACATGTCTCCAACAGCTGTCTAGAAACCGAAGTCAGATAATCGGTTAAGAAAAACATTTCATTGTTGTAATGAACACTTTTGATAACTTCAAAACATTTACGTCTATTACAACGTTACGTTCAGGGAGGGGAGAGGGGGCTGCTGGAGGGAGCCAGCGCAGGGATAAGCTCACCGGCGTCAGCTACAGCGCTGCACTCCAATAACTGCTGCTTTATCTGGTCCTTAAAGCTGCAGGAGAAGGACAATGGTCAGGCCCCGCGCCGCTCCCCGGAGCAGTGGGCGCCAAAGGGGCCCCGCAGCACCACCCGGCCCCCAGCACTGACTGAAGCAAACAGAGCACGTCCACCGCGGCTATGGCCTGCTGCTCATCCTCCGGCGGCTGCTGCTGCGGCGACTGCGACTGCGGCTGCTGCTCCGCCGCCGCCGCCATGACTGCCCCGCACTCCGTTCAAGCTGCGCGGGTCAGGGACACCCAGCAGCCCGCGCGCGGCGGGCGGGGCGGGCCCTGGGAAGGAGCCTGCTCTCCGCCCGCCTCCCCTTCTCCACAAGGGGGTGCTTCGGTGGAACGGGAGCGGAGTCGAGGAGCACCGCACAAACCGGACGGGGGGCAGGCAAAGAGCAGGTAATAGCCTCGGACCCGTTTTCTCCTTCAGGAAGCTACACACAATTAACATAAGTATACTACAGTAAATAAATACTGCGATAACAGAGCTACGCTGCCACTCGACTAGTACAGACGCTACATCAGACATGGGCCTCTGCAGCCGCGCCAGGGCCCACCCACCCCAACGCTGCTCACAGCCTCAATGCCTCAGCGGTAGGCGCGAGTTACCTCTACGACTACAAAATAAAAACCACACAGAATAAAATGAAATACTTTATTAAACATCCCAAAGTATAAGCAAAATACATAATAAGGGTTTATAAAAACAATGTTGGCACTGACTTTGTGTGGGAGTTAAAGCTTTTTAGTTAGTGACAGACTCGGCTAGATTCCAGATGACAGGTGAGTTCAGCTGTTCGATGGTGCTTATCTTGATGGTTTTAGAGCTAGCATATTTTTTCTTGATTGCCTGCAGAGGTAACTTTGATTCAGTTTACCCTGTTCATAAATTTACACTATTCCAGCTTTCCCAAGCCTTTGATGGCCAAGCCAAACCCATCCTGGCACACACACCCAGTTCATGGCTGGCTCACACCACTTTGGCAAGAGCTTCAGCTGAAGTCTGAGAGCAGTAGCACAGCTAAGCCAGCCTCAGAGCACCACACATTCCCCACACATACTCCCCAACTGCACCACACATATTCCCACCTGCATCATGAGATTCTTACCTTCTCCTTGGTGGTAGCCTTATTCGCAAGAACTACATTCTTTGCTATGTGCTGCATAACTGGGAGGAGGTCACTCTCAGTGTAAGATGTGTAGCACTGTAGAGTTTCTCTCTGAAAGGAAGGGAAATCATTAGACAACCTTACCAGAACAACCCATTTATCTGTTTATCTTCTCTTGGGCAGTTGTGGTCTCCTGCCTGCCAGAGGACGGTTAACAATTACTGCCCCTTTTTAACAAGTCACTGAGAGACAAGCAAATGCTGAAATACCACAAGGAAGCAGAAGGTGGATACTTGGCCTTTTAAGCTGGTGGAGATGGAGAGCAGGTCCCAGACTAGGTGATCTAACAAGCATAACTTACCCACTCACATCCCTTGAGAAGTTTCAGAGACAAACAGGAAGCAGCTGCTGCAGTCTTGGATGGAGGGAAGTGAACCATATCATAGTCCAGAATGGTCGACTCCATCAGGTATTCGGCCAGAACACGCTGTCTTGTGTTTACCTACAGAAGGAGAGTTGAATATTGGCTATCTCTGAGGCAAGAGCATCCTGTCAAACCTTTGTTTAATCAAGCAGGAAGAAATACTTCCTTAGCAAGCGTTTTGAGAGCTAAGGGCTCGAGACTTAAGTGGCTTAATAGCAGAGCAGTTCTGAGCTGTATTAGGCTGCTTAGTCTAAGACCACTCCTTTCAATAGCAGTTACCTGCAGTACCAGGCAGATTTTTTAACTCCGATTTTGGGTGGGTTAGGCTCATGTGACTGAAAGCAAGCAAGACCTGTTTCTACATGGGAGACAGGCCTTAACCAGGCTTAGCTGCTAAACTTTTGTTATACTCAAGTTCTGAACCTTTTAAACAACCTGCCACAATTGAGAATGGCATTTTCCAGATGCTGCTTATATCAACATGTGTTCTCAGCTCTACCTTTGCAACTTCTAAAGCCATATTTAGGAATTGTGAAGCTAGGGGACGAGTCAGATGAAAATTCAGGGCTTGCAGGATCTGAAGCTCCATCTGGATGATTTGTCTGGTTGTATAAGTGTTATCGGTTACATAGGCAAGGTCTGCAGCATGCAAGGGATGCCGTTCTTCATATTTGCTGGCAATGAACATAGCTGTGACACCAACCAGCTGCAGCATCTTCTTAGAAACAGTATTGTCCTGTAGGAAGAAGCAGTAGAGATTTATATGAATCATAGGCCTGAGCTCAGAGCACAGCTTTTCAGTGTAGCCTGTGTAAGATTTGTTCAATGGCAGCATGCTCATATTTGCATATACAGAGTAACTGTACATCATCTCTTGCAGTCATCTGCAGGGGTTTTGGAAGGCTTTGAGATCAAATCAGGTAGAAGAGGAAGCAGTTTTGATACATCAAATCCCTCTTCACAGCTGAGGGGGTTATGTGGTGCATACAATTCAACATCAAATGCCGTTTGTTGGTCAGCTATATTTTGTTAAGGGTTACATGTCTATGATGGTATTACAGATCAGGGCTGCCTGTGCTTTTGCTTACAGAAGAAGGAATTTCCTGACACATGGCAGAGACACTCACCTGCAGGAAGCAATCTATGATGGCAACTGACAAGTACAAGGTATCCTGAAGGAGTTTGAAGCTTATCTGTACTTGCACAAGCCAGTCTATTAGTACAGCACGCATTTTCCCATTGATTTCTTGCCCAGCCAAGTATTTGGGTCTGATAGTCCAATTTTCCTGTGTGGAAGGAATAGAGTTAATAAATCTTGTCACTTAGCTACAGCATTGCAATGTCTAGCCTCTGTGGCATCTTACAGCTTATCAGAGCTCAGTATAGGCAAAACCTACAGGCATAGGGTTTCCTTGTTTACTAGAGATGGGCTAGAAAGAACATGGTATTAGTACTACTAGTTGATTCATCTAACAACCAGTATGTGTTTATGTAATCAGCTCAGTTTAATCTTGCATTTTAAGTTGGGGTATCCCTTACTAGTGCCTCAGGAAAATTCATGGGTGAAAGTGAATACCAGCTCCAGACCACGCCTACGACAGGTTCAGTGTGTCAGGAGATGCCCCCTGAGCTCTGATCTACTTCTACCAACCTCAAGCTCTCTCAGATACTGGTAGATGTCCTTTGCATAGTCGTGGAAGTACTCTGGGTCGTTATCATCTTCATCAACTACATTTTCCACATGAAGCAAGTCATGAGAACAAGCCTGACACATCACATCATCTGATGGTACACATACAGGTATTTCCGTGGGGATTTGGGAATGAGACTCCAGCTGCAAGGAAATTCAGGATCAGCCCAGGCAGGACTTTCCTCAGCCCACTGCGGGCCAGGCAAAGGAAAGCTCCTGTGGGGTGAGCTACACCCAGCAAGGCACTGAACTGCTCACGACCTCTATCCGAGGGCACGACTGAGGGCCCCTGCTCAGCACGGCCTCACCGCATACCCAGCCGTGGCAGAGGGCGCACCGCCTCGGGCCGTACCTGTTGCGAGTGGGGTTCTGGCTTCGGCTCCGGCGCTGTTGGCGGCGCCCCCTTCTTGGGAGCGGCTCTCCTCTTCCTCCTGGTAACGTGGTTCGCCTTGGGACTAGAGGGCAAGGGTCTGCCGTCCGGCTCCCCCCCGCCGCCTCCACCGATCGCCGCATTTCTGGTGGCCCCCTGTGCCTTTGGCTCGGTGACGCGGTTGCCGATGTCCACCAGCGCCGTGCGGGAACTCGGCCGCATACTGGGGCCGGCCACCGCGGATCTCCTGAGGACTGGCAGCCTGCTGTCTCCGCCTGGCTGCTGGGGGTGCTGCGGGAAGAGAGGGGGCCGGGCGGTCAGCGGGAACGGGGGAGAGGAAAGAGGGACTGCACGGCTGCACCCCCGAAGCCGGAGAGTCGGGGGAGATGGACCGGGGGAATGGTGCACGCGCCGCGCTGTCCACCTGCCCCCACCCTGAAACAGGTGTGTCCGGAGAAAAGCCGCGGGAGGGCTGCAGGGGTACACGAGCTCACACCCACGGAGCAGGAGGGCTACAGACGTGACTCCGGGGAGCAGTGCTACTGCTCCTGAGAGCTGAAGGGGAGCCCGGGAGGACCGAGGGAGTACCTAAGGAGAAGCGTGCGCCCCACACCTCCACCCTCCCCGCTCACAGGGAACGAGGGCGCGGCGCGCCCCGCACCTGCCCGCGAGCCCGCAGAGCTTCGGGGGGCAGGGAGGGGAAGGTGTCAGCAAGACACGGATGACCGCCACCCTCGCATGAGAGCGAGCAGGCACCCAGCCACCTAACCGAGTACCGCTGGGCCGGTCTTGTACTTACCCAAGAAATCGTCTGCGACATGCTAGGGCAGCGGTGAGAAGCGGAGAGCAGAACGATGGCCGCAGCGCGGAGCACGAAGACAAGGCTTTGCCCAGCCGCTGCCTATTTATAGAACCCGTGCGCCGCCTCTTATTGGCTGCCGGCGGTCCTCCCTCAGCGCGTTCTTGCGGCGACCGGCGGCGGAAACCGGCGTTCACCGTGTTACGGCCTGGGCGGACGGGGGCGCCCTTGTGCCGAGGTTGGGGCCTCCCCGCCCGGGGTGCAGCGGTGGGCGCCTGGAGGCGGCTCGGAACAGTTCTCGGTGTCCTGCCTTGGGCTGGCTCCGGCACTGCCCGGAGACGAGCCAGAGCGTGGCATTCATACCGGTGGGTTCTTGCCGTGCTGTGTGCGTCCCACCTCACGTTTTAACCAGAAAAGCCAAGGTGCACTGCATAAACCGGTATTGAAAACTACATTTATTCTTTCCTCATTACATGTACATAGATCACTTACTGCCAGTTTGTTGTAAATCTTTGCTTCGTCTTTGAAAGTGTTCTGTTGCCTCTGTCGGCACACAAGCAACTGACTACCTGGAATGCTCCCCACCACAGCATTTATTAACCACGTACACCAGTTGGCCCATACTGGTGATTTGAAAACCTGCCCTTACAGCACAGCTGCAATACATCTCATGGGGGGAAAGCCTAAACCCTTTTTTTTTTTGAGGTTTATTGCCAGATACGGGCTCTTTTTAAACAACTTTAAGGTAGACAATGTTCGTTGCTGTTGTCTTTATGTCAGGATAGCAGGAAAGCCACTGTGCATGTGCTGGGGTCACATGGGAAGAGCTACCAAATGCAAGTGAAGATGCAGGTTTTTGCTTGCCTGTGAAGTAGCCAGGCATGAGCTGATCTTCACTGCTGTAATCATCCAATGAGGTCCCAGCCACCTTCATTTGCTTGTGGTCCTGTTGCTAGCAGCTGAAGTGTGCAATCAGCATTTGCTCAGAGAAGTTGTGTCAAGCATTAAGGCTTTTCAGTGATGTTACACTAACTTGATTTGAAAAAGGAAGAATTCGAAAAAAGTAGGAAAAAACCACCTACCTATCCCCACAGAGCTATTTCTGGGTTTGTTGAAATGCTGCCAGCTCCAGTCCAGCCATGGCAAACACCAGTGGCACATGTAAATAGTAACTGAAGCTTTTTGTTCGAGAATGGTTTTCAGAGCAAAGGGATCACCCTGCTTACAGGCTGAGTGTAATTGCAGCACTGTTATTCAAGTGACCTGGGCCTTCTGGAGGAGGTGACATGAGAAAACCACTGCCAAAGGCAAGAACTGAAGAAAACAGGATCGAGTTCTGGGCACTCTGCTGGTTCTGCAGCACAACCCTGAGAAATGAGGGACTGTTACCTGTGCAGTCAACGTTCATCACTACATGCAAAAGCAATGCAACTTCCAGAAACGTTCCGAGCACAGTTTTTCAAGTCAGTCCTGTACTGCAGACAGTGTTTAACACAGCACCAGAGGAAGAGAATGGATTGTAAACTTGTTTGTGTAAGAGTCACAGAAGAAACTGTGTAAACAAGAGCAGACGAATTGCTCAAGGACATTCTGAACTGCGCTGCTGGTGGGTCTGATCATGTAATTCCTACATCAGTCTACCCTTAAATTCCACTAACATGAAGTCTGGCCTTTATAACAATACTCAGGTGCTGATCAGTATATCAGTAATATAAATTTATACCAGAACAAGAAAACAGTATGACAAAGTAAGGCTGCTGTGACACACAGGTGAAAGATGTTACTCATTCTCACTAACCACCGAACAGACTTGCTGAATTCCATAGGAAATATTTAAGGGCTTCAGACAAGAAGGGGGCACAGCAAGACTGTAAACAGATGTAAGGGAAACTACCTCTGAAGACACAGTATTACCCTGTTGACAGGTTTTCACTAAAGACAGATTTGTTTTCTTCACAGTATGAAGACCCCAATACACACTATTTTTTCTTAAACACTCTTTCTCTTTTGAGGCAAGAAGTCTGAATTTACAGTTTGTTTCTGCAGCCTGTCAAGCCGCAGACTAATGTCACAGCTCACCATTCCAAACCTGAACTGCTTCCTTTGGTAATATTTGAAGGTACACCTGGCTACAGGACATCTGCAGCTCTGCTATGGTATTACAAAAAAAATCGAGTCAACACAGTAATGTATGTTGAAGAGGTGAAGTTCGGGTGAGTGCTAGGATGGTCACTGATTAATTACCTTAATTTTTGAACTGTTGCATTTGCAGTTTTTCAGAGAAAAAGTACAAAAAGAAATTGTTTTACAGGTTTTTTTTTTTGATTTTCTCAGGAAACAGAGAAGTGTCTGCAACTTTCTCCCCTCCCTATTTCTCACTGTTAACTGTGGATTTCTCTCCTTAAAAAACATAATTTGATACAAATTTTCACTGGTAACATCTATTTGCTCACTAAAATTAAGTTTAGAAATCAGATCTGTTTGCCAAAATATAACATAAAAACTGTGTATTTATATTATCTAACAAAGACTGCAAAACACGACTTCACGTTGTTTTTTACTCCCCATAAAAAACATGCTGTTTTTCACCCAGAATCTTCAAGCTATGTCTGCATTCTAATATAAATTATTTCCATTTCCCACTACTAATATGAAATGATAATCATGATGTTCCATACTTAAGACAAAGTATGGAATATATCCCTGCTCATCCACAAGTTGCAAGACTTCTGTTTAATAAGCACTACGTACAGTATTTAAGATCTGCATAATTTTCACATATACAGCAAATATTTAAGTCCATCTAATTTCCTTTACAAAAGCATCTTGATGCAATTTTAATAAAGACAGTATGCTTAAAAATCTCAAATATATAGTACATTTGTTCCTGTACATGTATGTGCAATATCTCCTGGCAGAAATACGAACACAGAATACTATGGCTTCCCCATTTACACCTCCTTTGGCAAACACAACTTTGTATCACATGATGTAAGTACCATCTTTGAAGTATTTCATGGATTCTAGTTGCTGAGTCATTGCAAGGACATCCTGAAACCCCGTACTGAGTCCAGACATGTGCTGAAAATAAGCTTCCTTCTCCACTTGGACAGTTAGGTTGTTTACACCAGCATCTTTCAGAATGGCTGTAACCTGAACAGAACAGTATGGTTAACATTAGCATTACATATCCCAGTAACTTGCAGCACTGTGGCTCTGAAGTACTGTAGATTAAAAAAAATATCATCATAAAGAATTCAGTTTTCTGGGAAGAGAAGACTAGCTCCAGAGGGTATGGCTCTGCAACTTCTGCATATGGGGTAGCTCTCAGGGTCTTGCATAGGAAGTATCCTTTTAAGGAAAAGAGAAACCCAAGGCAGACAGATACTAGTAAACTACTTATAAACCCATGACTAACACGCAGCTATCCCTACTGCTTACTGCCTGTTTTGCAGCATGAAATCTACCTCACCTGCTTTTCTCAGAGCAGATGTAGTACCACTTTCAACAGTGAGGAAAAGAAAAAAAAAGCAAACCACCTTTTCAAATAGCTCTTCATGCAATTCCAAGCTAGCAGGCAAGGGGAGTACAGCACTAGAGACCAGCTCTGAAACATTAACTAATAGCTGCAAAAATAATCACAAGCAGCAGCTTCAAACTTCAGTTTACAACTGAAATTAAAACAGCAGGGTCTAAAAACCTTGCACTCACCTGCTGTACAATTCTCTGTTCCATCACATCTGGTATCACTTGCACATGTATTGTACCTGCCACAACACTTGCAGAATGACACCAAAAATGAGGATCTCTGTATGATATGACTCCCTCTATTTTTTGAATCTGCAAAGAAATTACATTAGCAGCATTTAATTTAAGAGCACATTTTAAACGCGTGTATGTACATAGCTATTGGTGACAAATACTTCACAGGGAAACAAAGCTGGACAGCAAAGCAGCTTTCCAGCTAAGACACATTCAGAAATATGTAGAACTCAAAAGTCACCTTGCTACTACTGTCAAAGACTAGAAGCTAAAAGTAAAACTAAATGAAAACCCCAGAAAAGTGCAATGTTAAACAGGATGAGAAAAAAAAACCCAAATAAACCTACAATTTAGGGCACAAATCCCAGCCACATCAATAGACACACTAAAGAGAAAACTGGCTGGGTATTTACCCATTTCTAGGGCATTTGTTACCTCACTATGCAGGATAAGCAGCTATTTAGTTATCATAGCTGGACTTAAGTCAGAGATACAGTATTTTCCCATAACCTGTCACTTTTTTAAAATTGATTTTTGTACTTGGTCTGTCTGGGATGGATTGGACTTTTTTTCACAACAGCCAGTAAGATGCCGTACTTTGCATCTGTGTTCTGGTAGCAGATCAGTGTTTGTCTATAGCTGAACAATGCTTGGGTGCTGTCAGAGCTTTCTTGCTTTTCAGCAAGGAGGCTGGGGGTGGACAAGAACTGGGGAGGGGACAGAGCTGGGATGGCTGACCCAAGCTGGGCAGAGGAATACTGCATGCCATGCAACACTGTGCTCAGCAATAAAGACTGGGCTAGAGGAAGAAGGGGGTGTTGGGGCTTCCATGGTGGCTGCTGTTTATAGACTGCCTGGGTACTATCTGTTCTGCAACTTGGTGCACTGCTTTACCCCCCCCCCCCCCATATTAAACTGAGTTTAAATTGCTCCCCAGTTTTTCTTGCTTTTACTCTTCTTGTTTTCTCCCATTCCACTGGCAGCAGTGGTGGTAAAGTGGGGAGCAAGCAAGTGACTGCTGGCTGGGGTAGCAAGCATATTGCTTTCCTGTGATGTATTTTTTTTAATGCTTTTCCTATTATATTTTAATGAACTGCTCTTCAATTGCTTTCAGTAAGTATTTTACTTTTCCTCAGTCTCCCAGAATTGCTGTTTTCCCTCATCATAAAGTGAAAGCCCACTCTGCACCTCAGTTTTCTTTCACTACACAAGCCTCTCACAGACAATTTCCATTTATTCTTTCTTGCTCTGCAAAATCATGGAGCAGATCCTCCTGGAAGCGT